TATTATGTCTTTGCCATTAACATTATCATTGTTTCTCTGGTAGGCATATTGTACAGAGACATGTTTTTGCCAGTCTCATTACGTTTTGAGTGAAATAAAATTATGAATTATGAATTACACCAAGGTCATCTATCGATAAAGACATCGATTCGATTAAATAACAGCAGCTTTTCGCACTGTGACAGTGCCGATAGAAAACAGCAACTTTTTGGCACTGCGGCAGTGGCTTTTTGGCACTGCGGCAGTGCCGATAGAAAACAGCAGCTTTTTTTTGGCACTGCGGCAGTGCCGATAGCCACTACCGTCTACTTACAGTACAGCCAGTAAAAAAACCTAGCATTGCATCATATCTGGCAAAGAATATTGTTAGAATGTACTAGATTTTAATGCTATGCTCCTTTCTCATTGTCCTTTGGTTTCATTTGTCATTTTACATATTTCATGGCATATAATTTTATATTGATATAGATATTATTATGTAAATCTGTAATTGGTACTGCAGCCTTTAGAGTTCTAAACCTTTAAACTTGAGGTCAAGGTTTAGTCTTTTTACTACATTGTGCCCTTGGGCAAGGCACTCTTTCTGTGCATTAATGTGTCCCCACCATCCCATAAAAATTTTAAGTACCAATGATGCTTTCCAACAATAACTGTTGAACTGAAAAATAATTATTTTAATTTATCTAAAAAATAAAAGAAATTTTTAATTAAAAATTATTACTAAAAAATAATTATTTTACCTATTAAAAACATAGTGATATTAACAGTTATAGCCTACTGAACCATCTCTCCTGGTCCTTTGATACTGACCTAAAAAAATATGAGTCAAGATCCAGCTGCTGTTCCTAGACCTCTACCAGGCTACGTTCCTCCTCAACCAGGTTATGGACCACCACAACCAGGTTATGGACCACCACAACCAGGCTATGGACCACCTCAACCAGGCTACGGACCACCTCAACCAGGCTACGGACCACCACAACCAGGCTATGGACCACCTCAACCAGGCTATGGACCTGCCCAGCCAGGCTATGGAGCACAGCCAGTGGTATGTGATACTTTGTACTAGATGATGCAGTTTGCACCTACTACTAGGTCCAAAATAAATAATATTTCTGTTTGCTTTTAAAAATCTATGGCATTTTCGAAAACTACCGTAAAAGCTAGAAGTGAAGCCCTGGGCTTCTTTGTTTTGTGAACTTTTGATGGGCTTTTTTCGAGATGGGCTCCTTTTTGAGGCTACTTTGGAAAGTAAAGAGGTGGGCTTCTTCTCAAAATGAATGCTGTAATTTTGTGATTTTGTACTATAAAACAATAAAGAAGGCCACTATTATCATCAATTTGTATCATGGAGTGTATATAACTAGCACTAAATTACCTAAACTACTTTATAAATCAAGCTTGTATTTCATTTATTCTGTTTTCTGAAAATCATGTACAGCGTATGTACTGTACTATCTCGAAAAGAAGTCATAGATGCTATCTTGAAAAGAAGCACATGGGCCTCTTTTCGAGATGGACTTCTTTTCGAGGCTAATTTTGCAAACTAGAGAGGGGGCTTCAATTCGAGACGATATGGTTGGGACCTCAAATTTGGTGGCAGAGGGTCATCATTGTTGGAGTGGTTCATCATTAGGTCATGTTATTAATATGAATGATTACCATATTATTATAGAATATAAGATCTCAAAAAGAGTATTTGAGGCATGTCATGCCTTAAAAAAAAAGGCATCCATGACTTAAACAAAAAAATGTTTATCAACTACACCCACATCACGTGGGACCATACTCCCAGGGTGTGCTCAGGTAGGTGATTTAAACTGTAATAATTTTTTTGTTAGTGCCCTTTAACGAAAAATTTTGGACCTCCGCTGAGTATATAATTAATTTATTCTAAAGAATTGTATCTGCTCGGTGTTCTCTCAATTGAAAAATTTTTACTGATAAATTTGTCCATATAGAACCAACAATGTGAGGTATTGCCACTTTTAATTGGAATTCAATGCTGCTCATTTGTTTATTAAAATGTATTTATTATTGTTTATTTATTGGTAACTTATTATCAATAATACAGTGTGGTTTGTTTCATCAACTGTAACTGTATGCCAGCTTTTCTTGCTGTAAAAGAAAGCTATTAGATTTTGTATAAATTCATTTTTTTCACTAGATTGGAGCTCAACCAGGCTCAGCTGTTGCTCAGTGGATGGCTAAGCCAGAAGCAACAGCAAATTGTCCCCCTGGACTTGAGTACCTGACCCAAGTGGACCAGATACTGGTGCACCAAGTTGTTGAGCTTCTTGAAGGTATGAAGCTGTGCACTCTCTGCGCTGTACGACAGTTGTACGACCGTTGGCCGAAAAATCCAAATACGTTCCCAGTGAGCGATATACGACGCAACACCTGATAATAAATAATAATAATAGATGGATTTATATAGCACAAATAAACAAGGTCTTCATGCGCTTGGGACTAGATGTTTTCAATAACTTTCTCCTCCCCTGAGGGTCACTTCATGTCCTCTTCAGCCAGTAAACCGGCGCACTTTCATCTGTCCACGACAGGGGCCGAGTGAACCAGTACACCGTGGTAACCCCCTACTCATCTCGAAAGATGTACTGGGTTCTTTAAAGTGCACATGAGCATTTGTGTACACTGGGCCTACGGTTTATAGTCCTTATCCGAGAAGACTTGTTCCACCACCAGAACTATAGGATTGTCGTTTTCAGTCCAAACGGATTGTCATTAAAAAACGAATCGTTGTGCATGCGTTGTGGCATTGCGTTCTCTTCAGAATCCCGTCGGCTGCATTGAGTACCCAGTTTTAGTCATCATTGCAAATTAAGCAATACAGTTTACTGTAATTATTATGATTGTAAAATGCTAATTTTGGAAAGGACAAAACTATAATTAAACGGTTTGAGCTATGTGATTAGTGTTGTAACTTGTATGAAATGTTTTTTTTTTTTTTTTGTATTACTATAACGCTATGTATGATGGTATTTGTCAATTTCTTAATGAGTATATATTTTGATCGATTGTATGCACTCTGATATATATGGTGCTTACAGTACTAGTTCTTTGGTTTCTGCTGTTAAAACTGAAGGGATACGAAGGCTGTTCAAAATTTACTTTATTGGTACAATTAAACATATATTGAATTTAAAGAGCTAAAATTAAATATGTTATTAAAATGAATTACACAGATTGAGATCACTAGCTAAAATTGCATTATATTGGAATTGTATGATAGATTGAGGGTATTGTTACAGAATATAGTTTTATTTATAGCATAATTTGTAGTTAAGATGTATTTTATATTTTATCCTAGAAAATATTCTGAGCTTGATTGCTTTTAAAAAATTAAGGTTAAAATCTATCTGTAACTTATCGAGAAACAAATTTATTTGTATTTTGGAGTAAAGTATATAACAAACTGTCATTAAAAAACACTTGTAACCACCCGCTGTGTTCTTATTCCTATATCACTGCATACTTTTGGCTCCACAAAATTTATTTAAAAAAGAAAATGGTGTATTATGTGACTGGTAATCCTTGCACAGCAGCAGTTTATCAATAGTGCTGTAAAAATTTACAAAATCTCTTCTTAGCCTCTTCACCTAGTTTGCAACATCCATAAAACTCTTTTAGTTGCTTGTTTACAGTAGCAAACAATGATGCCTCCTTTGTGTAGTAGTTAATGCTAACTACATAGCTTACGCAGTTTTGTACAGTAGTACTGTACCAATCGAGTAAATAACTTTATAATACAATTTTTGCCAGCTTTCACCAATTGGGAGACCGAGAATCGCTACCAGCTTAAGAACAGTTTGGGCCAACAAGTTTACTATGCGTTTGAAGGTAATTGATTTTTCTGGAAAATTTCAGTCTATGACTATACTATGTGTATTTGTAGAATGAGTCTTGAGTGCCTGTTTTGAAATCATTCAATAGTATACAAATAGTGAATGTTTATGAGTACAATAGGGTAGAATATTTCATGAGGTGAAATATTGGATGTTCTATTCAACGAGGCGTAGACGAGTTGAATAAAACATCCTATCTTCCACTGAATGATATATGCTACTGTACCCCATTGTACGAATGAGAAACATTCATTATTTGTTTTGTACAACACCTCCTTTATACATCGCCTCCATGTAGCACTTTTCTTTGAATACATTACCTAGGAATCGATAAGTTTGCTAATAAGATAGACTCATCCTCACCACTGAAGCTGGCAAAATTCTCTATACGGTTAACTGCATATTTTATTGCCTTTTTCGTTGATTCGGCATCAATTTCTTCCAGTAATTCCTCCAAACCCTCGCTCAAAAGTAAAAATGGACCTGCCATTTTATCTGCGGAGTGAGTGTACTGAATGACCAACTCCTTGTTGACTGGTACGTGTGGTTTGTAACGTCGTTACGGACGGCCTAGATGCGCTAGCATAATTTTTCTCGCTCACGTTGCATTTTAGATTTTTGTCGCCATCGAGATGAAAAAATACTATTCAACGTAAAAGGCAAAGGTTCGAAACCTTAAGCGGGCCGGAGTGTCCGTCTCTCTTTCTTTAAGCCAGACTGTGAGGTGTTTGCTGCAGTCTGTTTTACCTTCCCAGCATATGCCGGTACCCATTTATAAACCTGGGTAGAGGGAGACAAACGTAGATAAAGTGTCTTGCCTAAGGACATTAGCGACTTGGTTTCGAACCCCTGATCTCAAGGTTGAGAGTCGTAGCCAACCGCTTCTATAACGATCAACGATTCAACGATCGTTGACTGTACCTAAATAACCATAGAATAGTCATTTTAAATCAATCTCACATGGCCTATTTTCAACCAATCAAATTAATAGAATATATACAGGTGTTGTATAATATTTTATTTTGCCATGCAACGTACGAAGCATAGTGAGGGGATCGCGGTATGGTCAATTATAAAATAAAATCGAGTACACAAACATATCAGTATATTTTTTTTTTTTTTTTAAATTGTCAATATTTGCAGAGATTCTTCCATTTTGTTATAATTTCTCTCCAGAATCTGAGACCTGTGAGCGCCAGTGCTGTGGACCATCTCGTGGATTTATCATGCACATCGTTGATAATACTAACCAGGTTTGTGTTTACCTCAACATAATTATCTCTGCATAAATTGAGGCAGATGTGGAAATTTGCACAAATAATTCTTATGTAATAATAACTAGTTATTTTAATTAAATGTTTGACGGTTTTTTTTTTAATGTTTTAATGTTTGAATTGTGCTACGACCATAGAATAGGTCCATGCTACGACCATTGACAATTTTAATTGGAATTGCTACAGGTACAGCAGGCAGATGTGGAAATTTGCACAAATGTTTCATATGTAATAATAACTAGTTATTTTAATTAAATGTTTGAATGAGTTTTATTTCTTTTTAATGTTTGAATTATGCTACGACCATTAACAATTTTAATTGAAATTGCTACAGGTTAATATATTATTTTTGTGATAAAGTGATTAATTTATGTTCTGTATGTTCTGTATTCATCATCATCACCACTCTCATCATCATAATAATTGACCTAGTCATCATCATCATCTAACTCATTATCAAGGGGCAGATCCAGAGAAAAAAAATCTGGGTAGAGGCCTTGCGATGTATGAACTGGGGAATGGGTTTGGGTTGGTGTTTGAGATTTTTTGTTTAGAAATGCTTGTACATATGTTTAGAGTGGACTGGGGAGGCTTTCGCAGATGGTGGATCTAGACCATATCAGCCCCAGGATGGTTGGGGCTCAGGTAGTATCATTTATGGTTATGGCACATGTAGATGGCCGGAAATGGCACTCTCAGAAATTTGAATATAATTTTTCTGAGCCATTGTTTTAATACGTTTACTGCCAGACCTTTTTTTTAAGGTTCCTTCCTTCCCATGTGCCAGAACAAGTGTACATGTACAAACATACTTTTTTTAATTCTGTCCAGTCATATATTATCAAAATGGTGGTCTATTACAGGAAGTGATGCGTGTATCGCGTGAGTTCAAGTGCTGTGCTGGGTGTTGTTGGTGCGCTGACATTGACTGCTGCGGTCTAGAAGTGGTTGTCGAGGCTCCTGTTGGACAAGTCGTTGGATACGTTCGTCAAGTGTAAGAGATCAGTCTTTTTTTTTTTTTTAATTTTGATGTTTGTTATATTATAAATACAGGGATGTAGGAACACATAACTCAGCCACATAATTTGAGAATGGTCCCCGCATCGTGTTTGTGTGGTTGATAAACTAATTGTTTTTGATCTCTTTTATCAATGATTTTATTTACTGTAGGCTGTAATTCCATGGTCATTTTGTTAACATTTTAGTGGGCTTAAGCCTGTTTAACCCCCCTCCCCCTCTCCTCCATTTGCCTCTAAAATGAGCTAATTCTACTGTGTTGGGTTGGATTGCCAAACAATAAGTTGACCAAAGGTATACAAATCTCCTACACCATCTGAAGCTCATCAATAGTTTAAAAATTAATAAGGACTAATTGGTAATAATGTTTGATGGCTATGGATGGATGGATTTATTCAGTGTAAATACCATTGACCCATGAAGGTCTGAAGAAGACTTATTTCCAGTGGGGTCCTTCTGGTGATGATTGGGCAGTACACCGGGAGACAATCCCCTACTCTCTTCCGAGGAGTGTGCTGCTTTCTTCAACGTGCACATGGGTCATTTTGCACGGGGACCTACTGTACATCTCATCGGAAATACGGTGCGCTTAATTCTGAACTTGCATATCAGCCCTCTAGTTGAAACACAAGGAGGGCAGTGGTGGGAATTGAATCAGGGAACCTAGAGATCTCCACGGTTCAGCGCACACACAGTGGCTACCACCAGATTAGCCGACTGAGCTAGCTGCTCTCACAGCTACCTACTAGCCATACCATTTGAATTATCAATAAAAAAAAAATTGTCTGTTTTTTGCAGTGGTAGTGCTTGGAAACCTTCATATGAAATAATGGACTCGAACAGACAATGTTTGCTGAAGATTCTCGGACCATGTTGTATCTGTCAGGGAGTTTGCTGTACATGGGACCAGGAGTTTAAGGTTTGTACTGATCACTACATACCAGTAGTCATAACTGCAGACCTACCACATGTGGGGTCTGTCTCATGCATAAGGACCAAAAACTCATGCACAAATGTAATACCTATTGTAAATAATATATATATATATATATATATTATTGTGACCTTTGTATGCCTATTCTTACAGAAAATTCTCCATCTACAGTACTGAAAATACTGTATCATGGTATACCAACTAGCTGTTTGGTATACTGTATATGGTATATAAAAGAAATTTGTAAATATGTCATTTTAGCGGTTTTGGTTGAGATCAAGGAAGCCTAAACACTGCAAGCTCATGATAGTGTGAAAAGATTCTTGTAGAGAACCTGAAAATTATTCTTAAGGAAAAATTGCAGATTCTGAATGCATTTATGAGCATTTTGGAAATTATATTTCCTGGAGGGGAGGGGGAGCTTAAGCCCCATACCCATTATGGGGCAGAATTTTCAAAAGTTTTTAATCTTGGACTTTTTGTAACTGACTCCAGCTAATTAGCCGCCCCAAAGGAGCGCTGCTCCGGGGAGGCCATTGTTTTTGCCTTTGTTCGTCATGTCGTCATTGTCATTGTCGTAGTTGGTAATTTGTTTGTTACCACAATATCTAAAGTTTGGTAAGTCTGATTGGTTTCAAACTTAGCAGAATGCAAGATGGTAATAAGAAGACGAGCCTATGCTTTTTGGTACGTGTGTGAATATGTTAATTGCTCATTTTCATAATTAATATTTCACTAATCTGGTATATTTAGGCTAGTTACCACAATAAATAAAGTTTGGTGAGTCTGATTGGTTTCAAACTTTGCACAATGCAAGATGGTAATAAGAAGACGGAACAAACTCTGAAGAATGCATGAATTTGCTCACTCTACCTTTAAGTGTGTGCTTAATTTCTTTCCCAAAGGTGTATAATCCTAATGGAATCGAAGAAGTCGGCAAGGTCTCAAAGCAGTGGAGTGGTTTTGTCAAGGAAATGTACACCAACTGACTCCAGCTAATTAGCCTCCCCAAAGGAGCACTGCTCCGGGGAGGCCATTGTTTTTGCCTTTGTTCTTCATGTCGTCATTGTCATTGTCGTAGTTGGTAATTTGTTTGTTACCACAATATCTAAAGTTTGGTAAGTCTGATTGGTTTCAAACTTAGCAGAATGCAAGATGGTAATAAGAAGACGAGCCTATGCTTTTTGGTACGTGTGTGAATATGTTAATTGCTCATTTTCATAATTAATATTTCACTAATCTGGTATATTTAGGCTAGTTACCACAATAAATAAAGTTTGGTGAGTCTGATTGGTTTCAAACTTTGCACAATGCAAGATGGTAATAAGAAGACGGAACAAACTCTGAAGAATGCATGAATTTGCTCACTCTACCTTTAAGTGTGTGCTTAATTTCTTTCCCAAAGGTGTATAATCCTAATGGAATCGAAGAAGTCGGCAAGGTCTCAAAGCAGTGGAGTGGTTTTGTCAAGGAAATGTACACCAACGCAGACAATTTCGGAGTGGAATTCCCAATGGATCTGGATGTGAAAGTCAAAGCCACTATGATTGGAGCAGTTTTCCTCATTGTAAGATCTCATTCCGTAATAGTGTTGTTTTTTGTGTATCAAATATATGTGTATTTTAAACTGCGAAAGCCCACAAAAAATGTATTTCCTGTTGGGCCTTCACTGTTGAAATGTAACCACCAACATGATCCACAGGTGTACCCAATGCTCTAACAGTCTTTAAAAAAAGGAAATGAATTTAATATTTCTATTTTTCAAAAAAAGTGTCAGTTTCACATTTAAATTTTAATGTAGTTCTTTAAATGTTTTAAAATTTTTTCCTGATTTTGCTTTGAAACATAATGCGATATGAACATGCACAGTCCTAGCACTGTTGTGACACGCTGGCACATCTGTGGCTTCTATTTGTTGAAAGACAAGCCAACCAGTCACTCCTTACAAAAAGATGAAATCAATTTTTAGTTAATAGTACAGCATTAAACAGTAACATAAAACTTATAAAAAAGGAATCATTTACTCTAAATCCAACATTTCGTGATGAAGTTCTCAGACAGACCATAACAAAATCATTACAAAATGCTGTTTTAATGTCGAAAATGGGCAAAATAACAACAAGGTTAGTTTAGTGCAGTAAAATAGATTTCGAAAATGTTGATATTGCAACATGTTTTGGCCAAGATCTCTGAAACAAGATTTGATTCATGTCATGGCAAAATGGTTAAGTTGTCGCACAGGCCAGTATTGATTATTTATGGGAGCTAAAAAAATTACAAAAAATTCTAAAATAAAGTTCTACTCTTTTTTTCATTATAGATCGAAGTATAATGTCTTTAATCATGTCCCAAAGTCTTAGTTATGGAAATGGTCAACAAATCATTTATTTAACAATATTTTGGTAGTTAATTCTATACAATGCTGTATGCACAAATAACTTTGGACAGCAATTACTCAAAATAATGTTTATCTTGACCGACATTCCGCAAACTATGGTCCGCGGCCATAATTTGGGCCGCGAAACATTTTTGAAGGGCCGCGAAGCCGTCTGGAAATTGAAAAAAAAATAAAATAAAATAACAAAGAGACGTTTCATCATGGAAAAAATAGTTTTTAATAAAGCTGTTTCATTGTTACAGCGAATGCGTCGCTTGCACACGCTGCTAAAGTGCCATATGATGTGTGATATTTGAGTTATAAGCGGTTTTTGTGTCTATGCCCCCTCGGGAGCTAGACACTATGTTATCATCTAGTATTAACCCTGAAGATCGAGTAAATCCGGTATGGAGGAATGATGGGATGAGTCATGAGCTAAAGATAAAAATAAATATAAGACTGTCCTAGAAAGATCTCTACAGTAAACAACACCAAACATTTCTTGATAACCGAATGCCCATGTAGATACTATAATAAAACATAATACCTGTATAGTAAGGTAGTCTTTTTAAGTTGCGGAGTAACTGGAGTGTGCGAAAACGTTTTTGGAAGAAGGAGAAAGCTATGACATGTGTGGCTGAACCGTGTTTGGTTGAATCATGGTAGAAAAAAAAAACAATCAACAATTGTCGGGGGTGGGGGAATCACAAATGTACGGTATTATTGATTTAATAAAATAATATTTAATTTGTATAAAATGAAATTTTATCACTGGGAGAACAGATAATGATGTCAAAATATTGTATATACAGGGAGGCTTCATGATCAAAAGTTCTTGCCAGGATCTGGTATGTTGGTCCCCGGCATGGCTGGGCTGCTGAGCCGTGACTTGGTGCCTGGAATCAAAAATATGCTGTGAAGTAAAAAGTTTGCAGAACGCTGGTCTTGACACTAGGAGTGTTGTAGCAGTGGTGCATCTAGGATTTAGCAATGGGGGAGTTGATAGTGGGAGGCAAGAAGGCACAAGCAGGGGGTGGGGTGGTTTTGGGAGGGGCATCCCCTCACATTTGAGATTTTTTTTAATTAGTAAACTGCTAGACAATCTTAGGTGGCATCTGAAAAGAAGTAAGCTTAAAATAGAATGTTTTACCAGACAGAGTACATGAAAAGCACACAAACAAGATAAGTGACCATTATTTTGTTTTTCATGGTAAATGAAGGGGGTGGCTAGCCACCCTATTCACACCCCCCCTCCCCTTAGATCCGCCACTGTGTATGCCTACTTTCACTTCCCAAAAAGTAAGGCTTGAAATGTCCAATTTCAGTGACTGACCCCTTACTTTAAAGGTTACATACTCAAGTATCTGCAAATGCCAACAACTTGAATTTCAATTTTTTTAATATTCCTACGACTTAGCCATTTTGCCACAACATGCCTCATTTGTGAGGAGTGACTGGTTTGGTTTGCCTTAGCCACATTTTGTTGCGTAAAGATAAGCCAGCTGTCATGTTTGTTTCGCCTATTTAGCATTTGTATGTTTGTTATAAATATGTTTTTTAATGTAATTTAATTTTTATTAATTAATTTTTTTTCAGGATTTTATGTTCTTTGAACAGCAGCAGAACAACAACAATCACTAATGTGGATTGGCCAACATGTTTCCAAGACAACCATCTGATTTGATCCGAGAACAATTCTTCATCCCCAATGAAAGACATAAGATCTCAACAAGGTCTTTCCATCTCATCTGATTTTTTGCAAATGCTGAGCACTGTTCCATGACTGACCCATTTCTTTCAATTCTTTGTTGATGGTACGCCTCCATGTGGACGACCTTCTTTCAGTTTTCCTGTTGGTGTCCATTTCAGAACGACTTTTGGAATTCTTTCATTGGGCATCCTCATAACATGGCCAAGCCATCTGACTTTGCAGTGCTTTATTTTGACTGACTTTGTCATCTGACTCTGTTTTTGTCTTTTTATATAAATTTACAAAATCTTTGTAAAAAATTTGCTTTACACAATTACAATAATTGCTCTACAAAATGATAACACAGTAATTGCATTTGATATTTTTACTAATTTATCAGTTTGGCTTAATGCTTAGATTATGTTCTTACTGCAGTTGCTACTGTACATGCCCTTGAGTGAGATGCAAACTGTTCCATAATCACGTGTTGTGAAAGAGAGTCTCTACTAAGGGAAAAAAAATCATAGTTATATATATAAATTGCTTGTTTATGTAACTATGGAAGATTGCACAAATACGCAACTTAATCGAATTGAACTTCATTTGTAAAGGATTTCTTATCTGTATTCTGCGTCATACATTATTAGTTTCTTCAATAATACCAATTGTGGTTTCAGTTTCTGTGAATAATAATATTACTATAGTGGGAAAGAGGCCATAAATTTTAGACCGTGTTTACATGGAAATTTTAAAATACTGTTAAAATTAAAAGTATGTTTAATATGCACAAAAATGCAAAATACATAACTGATTCTCATTTCTGCTTCTGTTATACCATAGAGAAAATAATTCTATTTTCTCTATGACCGAGGCATTTATTATGAAATATTGAACATTTCTATTCTAGAATACTAGTCTACAAAAATGTTTATATTTATTTGATAAAAGGTGATTGGATAATTCAGTGGTCTTAGAAACATTGCTACTGGTTTTTTTTATATTATGGTGTTGTTTGATATTATTGGAATAATCATTCCTGTTTATATAGTCATTTTAGTGTATTTTATGGATAAACCAAAGTTGTATGTATGTATGTAAGTTTTGTTAAATTTAACATCTAACAACCCTTGATGTAGAATACCATTGGAATATTACATTCCAATTATTTCTGCCATAATCTTATATTATGATGAATTTAACAAAAATTCTTAACTGTAATAGTACACATAATTAATGAAAAAATGTGTACAGTAATGTCCTTTTAAAAAATAGACTGTTGAGGTAAACTTGGTTTTCATTTTAATGTGATTTGATATTGAAAATAGAGTTTTCATATACCGTAATTGAGATAGAATTAAAATATGAGAGGTTATTTAACTATTTTATTCTTTAAAAAATCTGCCTTGGGAGCATGTCATTTGGCCATCAACTGAAGAGTTGAAATCTGATGCTGATTTTGGCTATGACAAGTTTCAGAATGGATCTTTGTGATACTAAATTTTGAGACTTAAATAACGTTCACACTACCACAGGGTATGTGCAAATTTGTGACATATTACACCCAGAAATGGACACATCACATTTATTTGTCACATAAAATTTGATAGTGTGGACCAGGCTTTAAGCGCTGTCCACACTATCACATTTTATGTGACAAATTTGTGTGATGTGCCCATATATGGGCATGATGATATCATATTGCACCCAAATATGGACATATCAAATTTATTTGTCACATAAAATTTGAGTGTGGACCAGGCTTTAAGCTCTGTCCACACTATCACATTTTATGTGACAAATTTGTGTGATGTGACCATATATGGGCATGATGATGTCATATTGCACCCAGAAATGGACATATCACATTTATTTGTCACATCAAATTTGATAGTGTGGACAAGGCTTTAAAAAAGATTTGCTAATACTGCATTTCACTGGAATTGCTCCTGGACACTGAGATGTTTGACGAGTCTACAAGTAGTTTAGATGTTAGAAAATTTAGACATGGTTTAAACTGCACTAGTTTAATTGTTAAGCTCTGTCCCAGGTTATCACATTTTCTGTGACAAATATCTGTAGTATGCCCATATATAGTCAAGACGTGCCTATATATGGTCATGATGTGATGTCATCATGACCATATTTAGGCATGTCAAATCTTTTTTGTCAAATAAAATTTGATAGTGTGGACAGGGCTTAGATATATTGGTGTTTTTTGTGTCTTTCGATTTTCTATGTTTACACTAAATTTCACCTTAAACATAAGACTTTTCGTTTAGGTAGTTCTATAACAGAAGGAATTATGTTAATACTTGGGTTTAATACAACACATCTATTTTGTTGTTTCTGGAAGTGTTTTTGCAACTGGACTGGTTAAGGTACGCCAGACCAGTCTTTCCCACATTCGATTGGACTTTCCCACCAACGAGCATGCAGTTAGTCACTGCCCCTTCCCAAATGTCCGCGCCAGAGCCAGGTTAATAATAACAATAATAATAAATATAATAATAATAATAATATGTAGGTCTTATATGTAATAATATAAATTCAAAATTGGGACTGTGTTTCTTTTATTTCTAGTATGGGAATTATGTTGATTCATGAGTATTAAATAATGAAAGGCAGTAAATGTAGGCAGTAAATTTGTTTGGTATTTGTACATAAATATTGCCTTTAATAAGCGTTTGTGTTTGTGATAAGCAGAAAAGCCGAAAAGTGGACTTCACAGCAAAAATATATTTATGTCGCAGGAGGCCAGTACAAGACGAAATAAAAAAAAAAAGCTAACACCGGATTGAATGGAAATTGTGATTTTTATTCAATGACGAAATATATATATATATATATATATATATATATATATATATATAGGAAGAATATGGATTCTAATTAAACAGATGTTGTAATTGCATTGGTATTAATTTGTCTTGTAAATAATAAAGTTAACATGATAAAATTCGGATTTCTTAAGTACGTACACTAATATAACCCTAGAAACTTTGTAGAAAGTATATTGATATTATTGAATAATTTCTTTATCAAGGAATAATATGCCTAAATAATTGTGTAATCAGTTGATCGTTCCAATATTTTGTGATAAATTTATAGAACTCGAGAAAACGTATATCAAATGATTTGTTCCTTAATGTAATATAAATATATTCCATTGCTCTTTATCTTTCCTTTCCTTTACGTTTCGTACACTTTGTTTCCTTTTCTTATGATCTTACTACCCCCAATCCAACATTTTTTATTTAGTCATTGCACGGTACAGTACTGGGTGGTAAGGTGGTAACAACCACGCGATTATTAGTAATCGCATTGAAACGTGTCCACAACGCGTATGCAGCGCTGCGTGGAAACTTGGAACGTATGCGAGTTATTGCGCGCATACTAACTTGAACATGTTTCGTTTCGATTAGATTCATCGTTCCATTTAAGTTATCGTTGGCCGAATGATCACTAGGCCTATGCCTGTGTATCAGGCCTGTACCCTATGCATAGGGTAGGCCTGGGCCTAGCTAGTTAAACTAGGTGACTCTGGCTATGTAAGTGTTTATATATTTCATTTTATGTATTATTTCCAGGCAAACCACAGATGTTCATCGAGAGCACTCACTTTAGTAGAGCATGCCTCCTCCGCCATGTGTTAATATTTCATGTACCAATTCCACTAAATTGTAATTTTGTATGACATCCATTCTTTAGTTAGTTTTGCGTAACTTGCTAATACAGACAGACAGTCCGCGGCGATAGACAGTGAACACGAACCTCCTTGGGAGAGGTAATAAAACAAATGTTTAGCTGGGAATGTTATCCTATGCCTAAATTCAACGATAAAATACAATTTACTTAATAATAGGCCGAAGTAATTTGTATTTCAGCAATTAGCAGGTGTGTCCAATAATCATTTCGTTTTGTATTCAATTTTTGTTGGAAAAAAAAAATCGGCAGGCATCAAAGGGGCTTCTGGATCCTCCCTGCTTTCTGTAAATTTTAATTGTTAAAAATATTTTATGGTTAGACCTAGTCCTATCTATATTTTATATAATGTTATGTGTGTACATAATTATTTGTCTTTTATTTTGTTGGACGGGGGCTGGAGAGCCACATAAAAATTGATTGATGTTTCTATTGGCCATCCGGTCTACCTCCTGAAAACATTTTTCTGGCTTTTTGTATTGTTTTTTGAATATTGTGTTTTATATGAAGTGACGAAATAAATGAAATGAAATTATTCAACTTAATCTTGCACTAAGGCCTAGTTCTCTAGGCCTAGTCTAGGCCACAGGTCCCCCCCCCCTACCCAGGGGGGTGGGGGTGTTTCGGGCCAGTTTACTGATTAGTAGTATTTTATAGTAACTGTTTATTAAAATTAGAATAACGCATCTGGGTTAAATTCGTCACTTAATTAACTAGGGAGAAGTCATTTAATTTTGTTAGAACTAGTCCGGGGCCATAGTATGCCCATAAGTTTTTACTAATTAGGCCGATCATTTTTTTTTTAAATTTATTTTGTTTACTTTAATAGGCCTATGAATCATGTTAAATCAAATACTGATAACTTGTTTACATTTTTTGTCACACCTCCGCATGCAAATTAATTTAGCTAAAATTCAAAAATAGAAAAAAACATGAATTTGTATCTGTACTTATTTTAAACATACTGTGTATACTGAAAGCATGCATTTCTGTTTTTTGTACTGTAATTAAATTCACTATTTTACTCCTTTTTATTTTATTGATTGGAAATGCTTACCGACCTAAGCCTAATCATATAATAACTTGTAAATAATACTCATCCAGACTTAAAAAATACTATTTGTTTATCTGATCCAGTCTGAAATGAGACGCGCCTACTAATACTGAAACAGTCACGCTGTCGTAGAGCTTAGCAAAGAAAGTACTGTTGCCATTGGTGATACACACAGCTCTTGTTACGCAAATAGCTTTTGTGCAGTTTAACCCCCTGATCGTTATTAGCACATTATATTTTTTTCTTTTCAAGGTAACCGTAGACCTAGTAATGTATGCTACGCTGTCCATTATCGATGGCGCATGATTTATTCTTTCTGGCAATTCCGTAGATCGTATACTACCGTGTTTTCCAGAACATTCAAAAATATTTTGTGAGGTAAGTTAAACTTAATACGATAGGCAAAGTAGCTCTACTCCAATTCGGCAGTACGATATAGCTGAATTATTCTCTATCAGTACGTTTGAGTATGGCAACTGGCAGGCCGGACTAACTGCATGCTGCGGTCCTAAGGCTTAATAGCGAACTGCGGATTTTTCATACGTTTATTAAAATTCTTAATAATAAATGAATAGTACTTCCATTTCCAAGTATGATAGATGAAGGCACCTAATTTATACATATGAAATCAAACTCAGAACACGTCTAATCAAAGTGTTTCCGCTGTCGTCAGTAACAATATTGATCCGTATAGTATTAATTATTTACCTCCTGCTAATGCTACCGATTGTCAAGAAGAAATTCATTGTTGTGCGAATGCTTTTTTTAAGTTATTTAGTTATAAGTAATTAAGTAATAGACCTAATAATGATATTGTTATGATAATGATAATCGCAATGATTATGATAATGGCAATGATGTGATTACGTTTTGTGATTAATACATATGTTAAGTTGTTTAGTTATTAGTAATTAAATAATAGGTCTAATAATAATATTAATAATGATAATGATGTCATGACGATAATGATTATGAGTGATGACGATGGTGGAGATTACATTTCATTTTTATTTATTTATTCAGACAAGTGTCTTGCACCAAAGCTACAAAATCACCATGACAAAGGTCTGGAGTCCCAGAAAAAGAGACGATAATGAGAATATAATAATAATATTAATACTACTACTACTACAAATAATAATAAATAATAATAACAAAATAAAAACAACAACAATAATGATAATGATGAGGATAAAATAATAATAATAATAATAATAATAATAATAATAATAATAATAATAATAA